CGAAATACACATTGCAGGTAAGAGAGATATGCACCTCCAACGGGGTGCGATCGAACATCAAGAGGGCGGGTATCGAGGGTTTGGGATATACTTCTTGAATGGCCCGCGGGGTTGAACCGGAAGCGCTGGTCGTACAGCGCCACGAGGGATGACCTCGGCGACCGTGGGATAGTGGGAGCGGTCCCTCCCGGCAGAACAAAAGTAATGCACCGCAATACATGCAATCCCAATGTCACGTCAGGGTGTGGTGTCCCCAACGGCAGTGTTCCCAATTATGGTTGTGGTCCCCGTTGTATTTATGGGTTTTCCCTCCCGGGCTGTAGGGTAGTGTTCCTACGCACCCGGCTTCCCCCTTCATGTGTCGTGGCAAACCGAGCGTGTAATACCCGTTGCCGTACCCGTGCCATGGTGGACACCATAGGTAGCCAGGTCGTTGTTGCTGTCTTCCTGGTGAGCTCTGTCGTGGGCCAGCCAAGGCGGCGGGTCAAGCCAGCTGTCGGCACAGCAACGCCCCGTCGCAGGTCGTCGTTGGCAGAGCATTCCCAGTAGTGGTGTTCGAGCGTGGGCACGTATGGCCCGCCACAGTGGTCGCATTTATCCGATACCTCTCCTGTCGTGTGGGATTGCAGGAGGGCGTCCGACACAGCACACCCGCACAATACCGCAGTGATGTGCGAAGCCAAGTCAGGAGTTGTCCGTAGTGCGTCCTGGGCGACCCGTAGGGCAGCCGTCGGAAAGGGAGCGCCCGCCGCCAGAGGGCTCTCGCGGCGAGTCCTGTTCTGTAACACAGACCATTCGTTGGATCGGAGGATCAGGCGAAGCTCGTGTAGCTGCTTGCCTGTCCCGTCGGTGAGCCGGAGGCTTCCCTGAGGTCCCCTCCATTCCCAGTTGTCGTTCTGTTGGGCACCAATGGTAGCCAGATGCGCCTTATAAGCGAGGATCGGTCCTTTTGTCTGCGCGCTCGTGACAGCGTGGTCCCAGAAGGCGAGGGCATCCTGTCCCTGCCGGCGCAGCCGCCACCGCAGTAGCTGTAAGGATCTTCGGCAGAGGTGGTACCGCACGTCTGCCTGATGCCCCATGAGAAGCATGCGGAGTAGTTCTGGGGCCGCACCCCTCCACCTCCTGAGAGACACCGCCCGTCGTGCCAACTGCTGGTGGGTGTTGATCATAGTTTTCGTAGGCGGTGTGAGAACCAGCGCCCATGTCGACACAGGTAATGCCATCGCAGTAACCGCAAGCCGTCGTAGTCGTAGCGACAGAGGCAGAGAGGCGATCCGTCGGAGTCGCACGCACCCTTCCAGGAACTTGCGGTGTTCCCTGTTGGTCAGTCGGGCTCTGTGGAGATTGAGATCCAGGCCCAGAATCTTCATGTTCATCCAAGTCAGCTGTGCGGCTCCACAACGATTTGGGTAGATGGTGAAGCTCTGCGTCTTGGCGTGGTTGGTCCGTAGAGCCGTCAAGCTCTCTAGGTGGTCCCATTCTTGTTGTATGCGCTGCATGTCTTCTGCTGTGTCGGTCATGGCGGTCCGGTCGTCCGCGTAAGTGCAGCACGTGGCCGTCGGAGCAATGATGCCGATTCTTCGCAGTGGTCCCACCAGAACCGTAGCCATCGCCAGCATAGCAACGGGGTTCCCTTGCGGCAGGCTGTTGGAGACGAGTATAGATTGGTCGGAGAGGAAAGGGCCCAGCTCAATCCAGCGCTCCTGGTGTTCCCATACGTATACAATGCTGTTGGTGATCTCGCTTGGGACGCCCAGATGCCGCCATATCGCGCCGACGAGGCGCGGGGAGACTCGGTCAAAAGCCGATTCGTAGTCCCAAGATGTGACGTGCAGCTCACCCCGGCGCTGCTGAAGGAGAGCTTGCTGTTCTGGGGTCGCTTCAAACGTGTCGCCCAGCCTGTTGGCGGTGATCGTCTCCTCGAGCCGGGAGAGGCACGGCTCGATGAGTTGCTCGAGGGTGCGGCCCTTCATCCCCCCACCCTGCGTGTCAGGGAAAGCAGGTTGGAGATACTCGGTGAGCTGAGCAGCCCTCCATCGATGCCAGGCTCTCACAACCGCGCTCGCGATTGCTATGGGACGGAGTCGCGTCAGTACCGGCGTGGTTGCCGACTCATCCTTGGGAATGTGTATCTGTCTCCACTGCAGGAGCTGGGGCGGCCAGCCGTGTTGTTCAGCCTCGGCGCAGATGTGAATCAGCTCCACGAGGGCGTCGTCTGGTAGAAGGATCAGCTCTTCTGGGCACCATTGGTCGGGGCCGTGGGCCTTTCCTCCGTGAAACATCCGTCGAAACTCAACTGCCTCAGGTGCTCTCCATGGGTCCAAGGGCCCAGCCGTAGCGAAGATATGTCGCGCGTGGTGGTGTTGGATGTCCTGAGCCTGCTGAATATCATCCCGGGCGCTATCCAGATATTGTTAGTAAGAATCAAGATATCCCTGCACGTTATTCCCGAGACCACAAGCGTAAAAATGTTGGTCGTAATAATCTCTGACACGGTTCACAGCATCCTGATCGAAATAGTTCGTGGCAGCGTAGGTCGAGCCCTGCAAAACCTTCCGTGTAGGGTCTTGCACTGCCGTGTTGGAATAAGACGGTACTTGGTTCCGTATCCAGGCTGCCGTGGTCTTGCTGAGCCCGTCTGCCTGAGTCGTTCTTGTCTGGATCCTTCGAGGCATGCAGATAGCGCCTGCTCTACCTCCTTGGTGGCCCCTTCCCACTCCCAAGGGCTAGTGTAACTGAGTGGTGTGGTCGTGGTGGTATTCCCCCGTTGCCCCGTCGCTGTCGCAATTGGGTCGTCGTCGCCACCCATCGCAGCCACCACCGTCGTCGTAGCCGCCATTGTTGCACCGCCGTCTCCTCCTCCCACATCACTGTCCGTCGGAGCCCAGATGATAGCCCCGCTCGTCGCAGCCAAATTCGTCGTCGTATCCACCACCGTTGTTCCTCCTCCTCCATCGCCTCGACCTCCACCTCCCGCACTGCCCGCCGGAGCCGAGTTCGGGTTGGAAGTAGGGGTCGGAGTAGGGTTGGGGACTGCATTGCCCATCACCCTCCACAGTTTACGAGCTCGTCGTCGCCACTGCGCAAGAAGTTTGGCTGCATGTCTCCCCCTCCTGCCAGGCATCTCCCCTAAGTGTTGGAGGAGGCGCCGGAGCTGTCTCTCATGTTTCGTATACGAGTCGTTCCCCGATTCTTTCCGTGACTACGGTGCGTATTCAAAGGACGATTTCCCGCGACCAGATGTTAGCGAACAGGCCAACACATGTGTTGTCGTTGTTGCTTTTGTTGTTGTTATGGTTTTTGTTGTTGTTGTTGGTGGTGGTGTTGTTGTTATGGTTGTTGTTTCTGATGTTGTTTCTGATGTTGTTGTGTTTGCTGTTGTTTATGCTGTGGTTATTGATGTTGTAGTGGTTGTGGTGTTTGTTGTTGTTGTTGAGTTCTCATTTCTACTATATCATAAGTAGTGTTGATTCCCCCTCCGGTAACTTGTATTTTGCAATTGATGTGCTCCTCCAGGTGCTCGCACCTTCTTCTTTACAAGGGAACGCGGGGTGCCACCAAACTGCCCCCCTGGCCCCCAAGTTACAACAACAGCGGCGCCCGCCGAATACTTCGTGACAGTCTATTTCAAATACGCGCTCTCGCGCAGGACGTTCTCATAATGCATGCGGGAAACGCGCTCTCCCGTGGGACTTCCTCGCAATGTATGCAGGCGTCGCGCCTCCAACCCTTAGGAATCACGCTGTCGCTCTGGCCTCTCTCACGATTTACTTGGGAATCGCGCTATCGCTCGAGACTTCCTCGCGACTCATGCTCACGCCTCAGCAGCCCACCTGCTCGACCTGGCCGCCTGGGCCCGCCTTCCCGACCCGCGCGTCAGGGTCTACCCGCCCGATCTGCCCGTCTGGTTCCTCCACGTGTTTTCTGCTCCTAGCCCCCCTCCCGCTGCTCTCTCTCGTGCTCCATCCTTCTCCTTCCCCCTTCCATCCGTCCTCTGGTGCTGCGCCAACTACACGCGGCAGGTAGGGAAGATATATCCCCAAGGGGGGTACGATCGAAGACGAAGAGGGCGGGTACCGAGGGTTTGGGATACACGTGTTGAGTGGCATGCGGGCATATAGAAGCGAACCGTACTAACACATGAATACTACGATTGTTGTTAATGTTGTATTTGTTGCTGTTGTTGCTGCTGCTGTTGGTGTCGTTGTAGTAGTAGTAGTAGTAGTTGTTGTTGTTGTTGTTGTTGTTGGTGGTGGTGGTGGTGGTGGTGGTGGTGGTGTTGTTGTTGTTGTTGTTGTTGTTGTTGTTGTTGTTGTTGTTGTTGCTGGTGTTGTTGTTGCTGGATTCCTTTTCGGAAGAATCCCCTCTCCAGCGCACATTTTCTTCCAATTGAGGTGCCCTTCCTGGGGCTCGTACCTTGCTTCTATCAGGGAAAGTCTTGAGGGCCATTTGACTCCCTGGCCCCCGAACTACAATAACAACGGCTCCCGTTTGATACGTCTTTTGTATGTATTCCAAATCGCGCTCTCGCGCGGACATTCACCGCAATTTGTTCAGGCGCCGCGCGCTCGACACTCAGAACTCACGCTCTCGCTTTGGCCTTTCTCACGATTAACTTGGGGAGGAGGAGGAGGAGGAGGAGGAGGAGGAGGAGGAGGAGGGAGGAGGATATGGAGGAGGAGAGGAGGAGGAGGAGGAGGAGGAGGAGGAGGAGGAGGAGGAGGAGGAGGAGGAGGAGGAGAGGAGGAGGAGGAGGAGGGGGGAGGGAGGCGGAGGGAGGAGGAGGAGGAGGGAGGAGGGGAGGAGGACGAGGAGGAGGTGGGAGGAGGAGGAGGAGGAGGAGGAGGAGGAGGAGGAGGAGGAGGAGGAGGAGGTGGAAGAGGAGGAGTAGGAGGTGGAGGAAGAGGAGGAGGAGGAGGACAAGGAGGAGGACGGAAAAGCTCCCTTCCCCTCCCGCCCTGCCGTCGCTCGCGCACCTCGCCGAGCCGTCCCGCCCGCAAAGGCAGACGGTGGCCAGGATGAGGTCGCGCCTCCGCGCGGCTGCCGGCGACGCGCCGCGCCAGGCGCGCGGCCTCCGCGCCGCCCCCCGACTCGATCCTCGATCCTCGATCCTCGATCCTCGATCCTGCTCCTCCTCCTCCTCCTCCTCCTCCTTTTCCTTTTCCTCCTCTTCCTCCTTCACCTCCTCCTCCACCTCCTCCTCCTCTTCCTCCTCCTCCTCCTCTTCTGTGAGGTAGTGAATGTGTCACGTGTGTATAAGCGCCACTCGCCGCCGTTTGACTTCTAGGGGTCCCTTTTGTGCCATTGCGCTAAAACGCATCATAATCACACTGGTAGCGGGGCTACCACACGATCCCCGTGTCGTACCACTGCGCGCACGTCTCATCAGAGAGTGTCGCACTACCTTACCTCGCTTTCCTTTCTCCGCTGGCAGTTTCCTTCGCTAGGGGATTGAACCTTGAGCCATGGCACTTTCTTCTCTTCGCTATCGGCCGAGCGCCGACGCGCTGACGTGGTCAGAGACGAAGAGTGGCGGCGCGGTGAACAACTTTCATCCGTGGGAAAGATGCGCATGGGTGCCGCCTTGGCCTCAGTGGATCCAGAGACGGGTGCTCCACGGCAACGCGTCATCACCGCAGCTGTCAACAAGGTTGTAGAAGGCCTCAGATGTGACGCATGCGAAATTCCTATGGATATCGGTACGGACGTGCTTCTGACTCCGGATGGGATCTTCCCCGCAGAGGCGCAGGAGGCGAATATCCTGTTCCAGGTGGGGAAGAGACCAGATGATGGACCACTGTCTCGACAGCGCGGTGAGCCGATGGTCTCGTACAATTTTCCGAAGGAAGCACTGGTTGAAACTTGTCTCCAAGTTAGATCCTAAGATCCGAAAGAGCGTGTTCTACCGCTGCTGGCGGGAAACCGGGGGGGGCACTACCGGTTCGAACCCCTCTCCCCCCCCCCCCTCCGGAAAACCGGGGGGGGGGTCATTGCCGGTTCGAACCCTTCCCCCCCCCCCTCCCCCCCAGCTCATCATGAAAAGGAGGGGGGGTCACTGCCGGTTCGAATCCCCCCCCCCTCGAACTCGAAATCCGGAGGGGGTCATTGCCGGTTCGAACCCCCCCCCTCGAAAACCGAGGGGGGGGCGGACAGTGGTGGGGACAGTGGTGAGTGGACAGCGGGACAGTCGTGGGGGCAGTGGGCGAGGACAATGGTGGGAACAGTGTAGACAGTGGGAGAGTGGTGGGGACGGTGGTGGTGGGGACAGCGGTGTGGGGACAGTGGGAACTTGGTGGAAACAGTAGGACAGTGGAGGGTACAGTGGTGGTGGGGACAGTGGCGAAGGCGGTGGCGAGGACGGCGGTGGGACAATCGGGCAGAGGCGCAGTGGGTACAGTGGTGGGGACAGTGGGGACAGTGGTGGGAACAGTGGTTCGAACCAGTAGTGACCCCCCCTTCGGTTTTCGAGGGGGGGTGGGGGGGTTCGAACCGGTAGTGACCCCCCCCCGGTTTTCGAGGTCGGGGAAGGGGGTGGGGGTCAGGGGAGGGGGGGGGGGTGCCGGGGGAAAGGAGAGGGGGGGGGGGTCCAGCAGGGGGGGCGGGGGTGGATTTTCGGAGGGGGGGGGGGCGGGCTCCGGAGGAAAAGGGCGGCAATTTTCCACAGTAAAGCGGCGGTGGATCACGCTCTCCCTAAGATCTCGATGAGCGACGATATGCTTGGCTCCTTTCTCTTGGACAGCGCAGGCTTCTCGCCTTCGGAGAACCCGATGGTGTTGACACCCACGGGAAATGTGACGACCTGCGACAAAAGCAAGGACGCTGTTATCCTCCAGCGCGGCCACATACACATCCACCAAAAAGTCAAGGTTGAGTCTGGTAAAGGCCCCAGCTCTTCGACGCGAACGCAGCCCAGACCCAGCTACCAGAACAGGGGGAAGGGCGAGGGCAAGGTGCGGTTCTCCAGGCCACAACACGCTTTCTACACTGCTGATGAAGGATGGATCGAGCAAGAAGAGCATTACCCTGAGGAGCTGAGCCCTTACGGATACTACGCGTCCGGCTGCGCGCCGGAGCGCGGCTGGGGCGGCGCGGCCAGGGGCGATTGCGCCGACAAGAACACCTAAGTCGACGAGGAATCGTATGCTCACTGGGCCCCCGTCCAGGATTGCAACGAGCTCGATGTCGAGGTGGTCGACGAGATGGTCGCGGCCCGATGCGCGGAGGAAGACGCCTCTGTCGCGATCCAAGAAGACCTGGTCGCCAAGCTTTGCGCCGCAGGGAGGAAGAAGGGTACGTGAAAGAGCGGGGGCAAGAGTGGCCGTTGCGCGCCCTGGTCGCCTCGGGGAGGCGGCAAGGGAGGGCCTCCCCTGGAAGGTCGCAAGAACCGGCTCCAGGAGATCGAGAAACTCTAGAAATGCAAGGCCTGCCGCGAAATTGGTCACTGGTCCGGGGGCCCCGAATGCAAGGGCAAGCCCGGGGCGGCAATGGTAGCGCGCACTGGAGACGTTGGCGAGCGCCATGTCCAGTTGCGCGAGGACGATGACGAACGAAAGCTCACATCTGTCAGTTCTGTTGCTGCGTCACCATCAATCCCTCATCGTGTCATTAGAGGGGGCAAGGAGTTGTCGATGTGGCTGGATCCTGGTGTTTCTCGTTCCTGCTTTTCTTTGTCTTCTCGCGTCATGCGTCGCAGGGCACGCGTGTGCGAGGGGGGGAAGTGTGACGGGCAGTGTAGCTTGCAGCACAACCGCGTTGAGCATCATGCCCGTGAGAGTTGCATGGGAGTGGCCAAAGCCGCGTCGGTTCAGGGACCTCCAGAGCTTCAGGAGAAGAGTCTTCACACATCTGCAGAGGCTGAGGGGGGCGCTCTTGGTGTCATGGCTGTTCGTTCGACCGAATCTGACTCTCTGGCTATTGTTTCTGATGGGGAGCTGGAGGAGGAGGAGGGGTTTGTTTCGGAGCCCATCTTTGCCCCTGGTCAGGGTGCTGCGTTTCCTCGGGTCAGCACAAAGGGCTCAGTCATGGTCGTGTTCTCAGGGGTACTCCCGACTACGTGGATTCGGGTCGCAGTGTGAAGAAACCAAGTGAGGATCTGTTTCTGTTCTTAGGATGGGTCGATCGCAACTTTGCGCGGAAGGGGGGCGGGCCGTTGGAGAGTTTCGGGCCGAAAGTTTCCAGTGACAGAGTTTTGCCTTATTCGAGTCTTTCTTCTGGCCTGAAAGAGAAGCTTCCGAATCCCCCGTTGCCTCGCCCGTGTGCTCGCGGTTGTAAGAATTTCTCAGGGGTTGGTTCGAGTGCTCGTTTCATTGTTCGCACCTGCAAGGGTTGCGGGCATGGCGCCTAGAGGGGGGGCGGGGGGGGGGCGCGCGGCGCTGCGCTCCCCGGGTGAGTGTCCGCGTGATCTCGTAGATAACCGCGGCAGTGCTCCAGATATTCTTCGCGCGCATTGTTGTCGTTGCCTGACATATATCGATGAGCAGCCCAGGAAGCTAGCAGAAGGCAGGAAAGCAACGGCTAGGAAAGTTGCACGCTCCAGCAACAGCCAAGCATAAACAATCGATCATAGTATTGAGATGGTTGCCGCATCACCCCTGTAGACCTCACGGTTGCACTAAAAGGCTTTCGCTGAACATGCCGTTGAGATTTGTGATGCTGGGGGTGCCATTAGCACTGGTGGACTAACTTCGCTGCTTCGCGACTGCGTCGCAGGAGTCGCGTATCATGGCCAGGCCGGCTTCGCGGCCCCAACGCAGAACTTTGCGATTGCAGTTTCGGCTGGGGAGGCACGAGTTTACGGCGCAAGCGTGGGGCCACCTAGAAACATTGACCACGCATTTGTGTTCCTCATGCAAACGCTGTCACAGACGACTATGCGCGACTACAGCAAAATCGCAACTTTTATGATGTTTCGCGCGTCGCCCAGAAACATCGCATGCGTTGCGCGTTGCGTGTCGTTTCTGCGTTGCGGTCGAAATTGCGCGGACGCGTCGCGCTTGCGCCATGGAGCGCCGCGCGCGATCGTGCTCTGCAAAAGCTCAGGCCGTGCTAGCGGCCCTTGCGATTTACCAGAGCGCGCCGATGCGCTTCGCCGCAACAGCGCTGCGAGCGACGGCGCCCCAACATGATCGTGCGACGGGCGCAGAGTCGGTTGATAGGGTTGTCGGAGAGCTGACTCCGAATTTCAGCGCGGAGCGGGGGTGGGGCATTGTAGAATGCATATGGGGGGTGAGCCGGGTAAAGTAGCACGCAGTAGATGAGTAGCGTAGATTAGGTGTAACGTAGGGCTTAGTAGGAGTAGATCATAATAGTTTGGGGAAATATTAGGTCCCATTCGTAAGAGGAAAGAAGGAGCGCTTGTCAGGGTATCGGCTGGAATAGGGTAGCATACAACTTCAACGCGCCTGAAGAGCCATGCTGCTCGGTGGATTATAAGCGCGCGGCTGGTGGCCCCAGAGGCCCCCGAGGCATTCTCATGGGGCTTGTCTTGGGGCCCAAAAGGCTCCTCAGGGGCTGTTAGGAGGTCTTGGGGGAAACGTGTCTGGGAAACAAAAAAGGCCCCGAAGGGCCCCCCGATGGGGCTAGGCAGGGCCGTCGCGAGGCCCTCTGGGGAGGGGTCTTTGTCGTGCGTCGAAGACCCTGCCAGAGGTGCGTTCTGATCAGAATTTCGAGATTATTCGAGCCATGGCCACACGAGAGTCGGAGGGCCTTCAAGGGGCCCAGCTACCTTGAGATAAACATCCAACACCGCCAAACAATACATAGATAGCAGTTCTGCCCAGCAGGTCGGCTTTCTTCCCACGCACTCAATGAAGTTGTTTTGGTGTCAATTGATGGGGGCTCCGTTCGGCCTTCAGAGCATTGCGCAGACAGCGACGTGGATGGGCGAGACTCTGACGCAGCATGCCCACCCCCAGTGACAGAACGCATCGCCTGTGGGCCGCTCGTGTGTTATCTGACTGTTGCCACCCCTGGTGGGATGTGGAGCAGGTTGTTTCGAAAAGATGAGATCGACGCGATGGGGGCCCCAATGACGAAGCCTCATGTTGTAGGGGCTGCGCTTGGTCAGTGGATGCGCGTTCCAGGGTTCCCGCGTGGTCTTTCGACGGAGGAGTCCAGGATGCGATGCTCAGCTATTGGACGTGGAAGTGGGCGCCAATTCCTCTTGCTATGGTATCGTGTGGCCGTGCGGTTTTCCTTCGATGACGTTGCATATTCTCACGGTCAAGATGCGGTTCCGTTGTTTTCTGAGATCTCTGGGGGCCTCGGAGTCGAAGGTGACGGCCCCGGCGGCTGGCCAGAACAATTCACTGCAGTATTTCGCCGTCGGCGTGGAGAGATCAACGACGGCAGAACATTACCAGTGGTGGTTGTCGAGCTCGGTCTGCGCATGGCGTTGGCGACAGTTGCAGATCTTACGTGCTTTCATGCCGTGGTGCTCGGTTGGTGACTTCCTCGGAGGCGCGTGTTGGGCGATTTACCTTCGGCATGGCAGGCCAGGCGTCTCGTGGGCAGATTCGGACCGTTCGACTGTGCGCGGCTGGAGGCGTCACTCGTGAACTCGTCATCGCCTGTCGAGCCCCACTCCCAGAGCAAGCCGCTCAATGTAATTCTTGATTGGAGCGATGCGACGCGGGACCCCGAAACTATTCGAATGAAAGATGCAGCATGCAAGCAATAGAATGCGCTAATCAGCCGTGCCAGGCAACTTGATGCCATGCCATTGGAGGAGACAGTTGGATACAATGTGCTGAGGTTCGGGCGCATGCGGCTCGACTGCATGGCCATGTCTACAACGTCCATCACGATTCAGACGGTTCAGGCTGCGGTCTCGCGCAGACGGTTCAGAGCATCCGCGAATCATGATTACAGCATCCATCTGCACAGCGATGTGTCGCCGCAGTGGGCTGGGGCGGAGCTGTTCGCATCGTCGTTCGATTTAATATTGCGTGACCCTGATGGCAGTGGCATGTTTACCTTGGAGAGGCGGTTGTTCTAAATCATTAACATCGGCATGGCAATGTTCACAGCGCTTGGGACAAGTGTTTGCTCTTCTAGGGCAGGTGTTCTTGCTGGCTGGGCCGCGAGCGGCTGCTGGCGGACCACGAGGACATGTTGTCGCGGTTCTTCAGGACGATCGGCGGGCACATCCCAGCGAGAGCGATGCGGCTCTCCCACCTTGTGCCTCGGTGCATTCTGGCGCCAGATTGGCGGCATACGGTGGATCGTGTCATCAGGCGCGTGTGTGCATCATTGCAGTTCTTCCCAGACTTCCTGAGGAAAGTGGGGTCTCTGAACTCGTTCATCAGGAACTACAGGAGCGACTTGGAGAATAACCTGAGAAATGGTGGGGCCGTCGGGGCTGCAGATCTTGTGAAGGCAGCTTCCCTACCTAACTTTGCCGAGTGGAGGTGGGGTACTTTGCATGGCGTGCTACGGGCTCTGCCTGATATTCACATCGCTTCAAGGGGCGGCCGACCTCTCGCCAGGCGTGCTACGGGCTCTGCCTGGTATATTCACATCGCTTCAAGGGGCGGCCGACCTCTCGCCATTCTATCGGAGAGGCTGCGGCGCCAACATGGTCCGAGACAAGCGGGCGGCGTTCACATAACCAAGGTTTGGCTCCAGGATGGGCTTCATGGTGTGGATGACAGAATGGCTTACGAGGATGCGCAACGCAGCGAGGTGGCGCCCATGCCATTCGGAGGAGTGCAAGACTGGAGACTGCCCGAAGTGCCCAATGTCTGGACGGACATTGACCATCATTGTAGATATACGAGAGTGGTTCGTGGTTCAGGCGATCGCAGACATGGGGCAGTTGACCGAGAACACTTCCGGAGGCGATCAGGACTTTCTACGGCAATTGCAAGGGTCTGTTCGCTGGGCGCGCGGTCTCATCCTGGACGTCACCAAGTTTGCAGACTGCGTGCCGTACTTATTCAGCAGGATTGGCGAGAGCGGCATCAAGGGCGAGTGCGTGCGACAGTGCAATCTTCAAGGCCATGACCAGCATAATAGGGTGACTCAATTGTCCATGGATCCAGCTGGCCTTCTTAGGATAGCTTTGGACGAAGTCGGGGATGGCAGCGTCATCGAGGATGCGTACCTCAAGTCGGAGGTTGGTTCCATTGCCAACATCAGCCTCGACGACAACATTAATGAGGGCCCCCACTCCCCCGTGGAGCACCATATGAGCAGAGCTCGTGGAGGGACCTGGGCGTGGACTGCCTCGAGCGTGCGACTCGACCAGAACCTCGCAGATATTGCGAATTCTCCTGCGTCAGAATCGGACAAGCAAGAACTGTGGAACACGTGCTCTTCTATATTGCAGGTCTCGGTCAAGAAGTTTGGGCGGCCATTGAGATGCAATAAAGATGTCTTCGTCGATCGGCTCTACTTTCTGCGAAGCGGGTTCGGCGACTTCGATGGCGAGTGCGACGCCGACGATGAGGGTGGCGACGCCAGCCCCGCCGTCGACGACGTCGACGGCGACGGAGGCGGCCCGCCAGACAGGGCGCGCAAGCGCCGACGCTCAGCGCTGGCAGCCAGCGGCCACGCCGGCAAGATGGAGGCGAACTTGTTCAAGGAACAGGTTGAGACAGCATTGCTTGTGCGAGAGTGGCTCCTGGCCGCGGCAAAGCAGTATGAGCGCATTAGCTCGTGGGCGGGGAGCGCCAAGGTGGTAAGGAGATGGTTGTCATGCAGGTGCTCAGCGCGAACGTGGATCTCATGGCAGTTCCGACGGTCGAGTCCGACAAGTTGCAGGACTTTGGCCTGCGGGCGGGCGTGCAGGAGCTCGAGGTCTGGAGGTCGCGGGCTGTCAACCGCGACGCCGAGAGCTTGGGCGCGTTCGTGGGCCCACCTCCTGGCCGCGTCGATTTGCTCGCCATGCTAGGGGCAGCTCCAGAAGCTAAGCAAGCGATGTCTTCTTGGAGATCTGGCCTTTCGGACGTGGACGGGTGCGCGCTTCTGTTCGATCGTCGGCCCGTGGCCCCGCAGATGGCGCTCATGGACGTTTCGTGCCCCGTGCCGCGCTTGGCGGAGGGCGCCCAGCGCCTCGCGGGGGAGGGCGCCAGGGGGGAGAAGGAGGACGACGAGGAGGATGGGGGATTAGGGCGGTGACGAGCGGAGGCCGAAGGAGGAGTTCCGAGGAGGGCGAGGACCCAGTTTGCAATCTAAGCTAATGCCCTGTTCCCCGGGAGCTGCAGTCCAGGGGCTTCTGCGGAGTTGATCGCATGGTGCCCCACGTGCCCAGTGGAGGGCCATCAGAGTATGACAGTATCAAGCTCCCGTCGCAACGCAACTACTTGAAGCTCGTCCGTGCCCAGGCGACGCTCTTCGAAGGCGGCTGCATGCAGTTCAAATCCAACGGCCCCCAGTCCTATTACGCAGCCTGGCTGAAAGACCCCTTGACAGAGCCTGGGTTGGCAGCCAGGATGCACGATGAGAAGTTGAGGCAGTTGACTGATGCAGATGGCCCTGCAGAGCTCGACCAGATCGTGCCAGCGCCAGCGCCGAGACGGCTGGGGGCGCCAACTGGTCCAGACATCGACGGAGGCGACTTGGGCGCACTGCCGCCGCCGCCGCCAGCCGTCAAGAACGAGAAGGTTTGAGGGTCCAGCGCGGACTCTCACAGTTCGTCATCGGCAGCGGCGCTCTCGGACCATGAGGGCGATGCAGCTGACGGCGCAGATGCCGCTGACCAGTGCCCAGATCAGATCGACGGCATGCTGTTACAGAGGGGGTCCCACCTTTGTCGCGGGGACAGCGGGCTGCGGGTTACGTGCCCCGACCCAGCGCACCCCGCGTGCAACTGCCACCGCATCGCCAAGTTGTGGACAGAGGAGTTCGGGGTACAGGCGCCAGTTATGCCTTTGAAAACGTGGATGGCCAAGGCGTTCGCGATGGACCAGGCGAGGCATGAGCGTTGGAGGCCTGGCAAGAACGACATCAGACTATTCTGCCTCGCCGAGGCGGGTCACGGTGCACTTTGACATATATTTTATATTGCAATGATGTTGGGGTGCTGTGCTCCTTGAGACGTTGTCGACAAGTCGACTTGAGTTCTACAGATGCGAGGTGACATCTCATCGTCAACATCGCAACCATCACCATCAGCATCATTCAAGCCCCCCCCCAAAAAAAAAAGCAAACGCCTTGCAACCGTAATGACCGACAGTCCCAAACCGAAAACATACCGACCTCGATATTGAAAGTGTTGACGGGCTGGGCGAAGCCAGCGAAATTGGATTGAGATGGGCGTTCTGTTCATGTTGGTCTCGCTGTAGCCCGTGGCTGCCGCGTGCCCCGCCCCAATGCGACGCTGCGCCCGCCCGAAATTCGGCGCGGGGCGCGGGCCGGGGCCCCGCGGGGCCCCCTGGGGCCTTATAGGGCGCAACTTCGTGGGTCGGGACCTCATGGAGCGGGGCCTCGGGCAGCGGGGACGTCCCTCAGTTTGGGGCCCCATGGAGCAGGGCCCTTTGGGCGGCGCCCAGCGGTGGGAGGAGGGAGAGGACGGGGAAGGTGAAGGGGGGGGGAGGAGGAGGAGGAGGAGGAGGAGGAGGACATCGTATGAAATGAGGGTCCGCCGCGATCGCCCTCAGGGGCCGCGTGTTCTCCGAGCCCCAGAGGGGCGGTGCCCTTATGGCGCGGTGCCCTGCGGTGCCCTTCTCGGGGCCCGAAGCGAGAGCCCACTGGGGCAGACATGCGCCAGCGCATGCGCGCATTAATGCCACCGCATGTGACGCCAGCAACCTGCATTCACATGAAGCGCTTGGCGGGCTACCACGTTAGCACCTAACTTAATTATGGCGCTGGCGCGTCAACCCGCTGCAAGCCCACACTACCTTGATCTAGTCCTGAACCACACTTGAACTAGGACGCTGGAAGCGCTGAACCAATCCCGATCGAGTCTTGACCTACGCCTGAACTAAGCGCCGCAGGCGCTGAACTATGAGCAGCGAAAGGCTGAACCACCCTGATCTTGTTTTGAACTCCACTTGCGCTAGGACGCTGAACGCGCTGAGCCACCCTGATCCCGCCCTGAACTGCGCCAGGACTAAACGCCGCCAGCGCTGATTCATGCGCGGCAGAAGGCTGAACCTCCCTGATCTAGTCCTGAACTACACTTGAACTAGGGCGCCGAAGGCGCTGAACCACCCTGGTCTAGTCTTGAACTACTCCTGAACTCGACGTCTCCAGCTCTGAACTATGAGCAGCGAAAGGCTGAACCACCCTGGTCTAGACCTGAACTGCACTTGAACTAGGACGCCGAAAGCGCTGAACCACCCCGATCTAGTCCTGAACTACGCCTGAACTAGACGTCTCCAGCGCTGAACTATGAGCAGCGAACGGCTGAGCCACCCTGATCTAGCCCTGAACCGCACTTGTACTAGGACGCTGAACGCGCTGAACCACCCTGATCTAGTCTTGAACTACGCCTGAACTAGACGTCTCAAGCGCTGAACTATGATGAGCGAAAGGCTGAACCTCCCTGATCTAGTCCTGAACTACACTTGAACTAGGGCGCCGAAGGCGCTGAACCACCCTGGTCCAGCCTCCAGCTCTGAACTATGAGCAGCGAAAGGCTGATCCACCGTGGTCTAGTCCTGAACTGCACTTGAACTAGGACGCTGAGCGCGATGAGCCACCTTGATCCCGTTCTGAACTACGCCTGAACTAAACGCCGCAAGCGCTGATTTATGCGCGGCAAAAGGCTGAACCACCCTGGTCTAGTCCTGAACCACACTTGAACTAGGGCGCCGAATGCGCTGGACCGCCCTGATCTAGTCTTGAACTACTCCTGAACTAGACGTCTCCAGCTCTGAACTATGAGCAGCGAAAGGCTGAACCACCCTGGTCTAGACCTGAACTGCACTTGAACTAGGACGCCGAAAGCGCCGAGCCACCCTGATCTAGTCTTGGGCTGCGCTTGAACGAAAAAACCGCAAGCGCTGACCTATGAGCAGCGAAAGGCTGAACAACCCTGGTCTAGTCCTGAACTGCACTTGAACTAGGACGCCGAATGCGCTGGACCGCCCTGATCTAGTCTTGAACTACGCCTGAACTAGACGTCTCCAGCGCTGAACTATGCGCGACCAAAGGCTGCACCACTCTGATCCAGTCCTGAACTACACTTGAACTAGGACGCCGAAAGCGCTGAACCACCCTGATCTAGTCTTGCACTACGCTTGAACTAAACGCCGCAAGCGCAAAACTATGCGCGGCAAAAGGCTGAACCACCCTGATCTAGTCCTGAACTGCACTTGGACTAGGTCGCCGAAAGCGCTGGGCCACCCTGATCTAGTCTTGCACTATGGCTGAACTAGACGTCACCAGCGCTGAACTATGCGCGGCAAAAGGCTGATCCACCCTGATCTAGTCCTGAACTACCCTTGGACTAGGACGCTGGAGGCGCAGCACCACCCTGGTCTAGTCTTGAACTACGCCTGAACTAAGCGCCGCACGCGCTGAACTATGCGCGACCAAAGGCTGAGCCACCCTGATCCAGTCCTGAACTGCACTTGAACTAGGACGCCGAAAGCGCTGAACCACCTTTACCAAGTCTTGAACTATGCCTGAACTAGACGTCACCAGCGCGGAACTACCAGCGGCAAAAGGCTGGGCTTTTTTGGCCAAGTCGTGAAACAAGGTTGGACTGGGACGCCCGAAGCGCTGAGTTACCTGTGACAACTCAGAAATTCAATCTGAGCTAACGGACAACATTGGGGATTAGGGACCAACACCATGGCGTCGGTGGATCCTTTCTGGTCTGGTCCTGAAATTGACTTGTCCGAGGCAACTGGCTGTGATGAGCCGCGCTGGTAGAGGCCAGCTCGGCTCTTGGCGTGAGCGCCGCCAGCGCTGGAACGTGATAGGCGAACGGTCGGGCCGCCCCCGAATTCATCTTTCGAGGCAGGAGCGGCGCGACTTCGTTGCAGTCGATGGTCAAACGTGACGCTGTTCGCTGACAGTGCGTGGACAAGTCGCCACCAACGCCCGCCGTTTAGCGTCGAAAGGCACGGCCAACCTGGCGTGCGTTTGGCAACACTTTGGGTTCGATGCGAGCGCTCGCGCGCGCGTTGAAGCGCAACGAAGCCTGTCTGCGGATTCGGTGCCCTGGCAGATCCAAACAGATGCAATGCCCGATGGGCCACCATATGGGCTCATCGCAGGGATTACGCTACTTCTCCATGCGCGGTACGGCGCGCTCACTATCAGCGGCTGGCGCCGCGCGCCGCGCGCGAGAGCGCGCGCGTCTGGCATTGCGCGGCGTCGCGAGCGGGGGGCGGGGGGGGGGCTCGCCGCCAGGGGTAGGGCGCGCACCGAGCTCAGCGATGGCATGCGAGCTTCGTGGGCCGCTCGCGCGCACCGCAGGCCCATCCACCTTAGCGCTGGGCTCTCACGCGGCCGTTGCGCGGCGCAATCTACATGCAACGCGCGCGAGACCGCGCTCGCGCACATGCGCGCGTCGGCACTCGCACGGTGGGCTCGGCTCGGGCAGGATGGAGGCGTTGCGGCGTTGGTCGTCAATGGCCAAGTGGCGCCCGAACGCGCTGCGCCCTGGTTCTCCATATCACAGCTCGGCTCACGAACGCCTATACCATGGCGCACCGATCATCGCGGCGCTCGCGTACGCCCGCGCTCGCGCGGGCGCGCCCGTCGGCCTTGGCAGAGCATGGCATTGAGAGAGACAACGGAGAACGCCCGCGCGTTTGCTAGAACACGTACTTCTCCACCCTCGCTGTTTCGGACCATGTGGACTTCCAAACGTGCGCGTTGCGCACGGGTGCCCCATCCCATGGCGGAGCGCAGGGGGCCCGTGATGCCCCCCCCCCCCCTACCCATGCGCGCGTTCGCGTCGACGCGGGCATGGCTGGTTCTGCATCGCACGCGTGCAGTCACCGACATGATGGGTTGGAACATGAAGAAGCACCCTCTGCGCTCGCCGCTTTTGGTTAGCAGACTAGTCGCGCTGTGTTGGGGGTGGCCAAGCGGAGCGCAGCGCGCGCCACGCCAGAGCGCTACTGCAGGCACGCAGGCGCGCGTGCCAACTGCACGTCGCGCGTTGAATTCAGCAGTGCGAACAAGGAGCGCCGCCACATTGGATGGGCGCGCCCCAGCGGCCCTGCGTTGTCCGCGTCGTGGGCGCACATCAGAACCGACGCGCGCGTGATGGAACAGCTTGTTTGTTGCGCGCGTAGCGCGCGTGAGTACGACATCGCAGCGCAACGCGGTGCTGCTGAAACACGGATGCACAGGTCGACTGTCGCGCGCGCATCCTACCCATTTGCGCGTGCTAGGGCTCTGCAGCCCCTGGGTACATTAGTCAGCTGATCACTTCAGCGTCAACACTACATGCTAACACATTGTGTAGGATGCTGGCGGTGCGCGTGTCGCACTGACGCGCCCCGCAGGTTATTGTAATGTCCGTGTGGCACTCAAGCGTTCAACGAGAGTATCCCACATGCGCACGCACCAACAACCAAACCCTGAAACGTACCATTTGTTGCGTGTAACTGGGTGTCTGGGGAGGTCTGCACGGGGCTTTCGGGGTTCAAATGGACCACTCAGTACGTGCTCGACGGGGAATCCATGTAGAAGGTTGCCCACGTCGGGCGTCGCTTCCGCCGTCACTTGAAAACGGCGAACCAACTGGGGAATGCAACGTTGTTCTGGTAGGTGCCTGATGAAGTTGCAGGCGCCTGTCTTTCTGTGTGTGTACACGTTCGCTCTAGATGGTTTAGTGGTCCATGCTCGCTGCCAGGATGTTTGCAGCGCGAGGAGTGAATAGTTTCTTCTCGTGGATGAGCGCTGATCGTTCTGGCAGCGGCAGTCCTTGCGTCCGGTGGAATGTACCCGGTGCCTTCGCTTGCTTTCTGACCCGAGGGGTAGACAGAAATCGCGGCGCGTCCGTATCGCGCGGCCCCCGTTTCTAAAATCTGCCCCTGGGCCTCGTCGGGGCCCTGCAGATTCCTTCTCGGCAACTGTTCGGTGAGAGCTCGGAAATGCATTTTCGCAGTTGGGTCCGCGGGCCGACCGTCAGCTTCTAGGGTCAGAGGGCGAGCAATTTTAGAGATACTCGTGAAGGAGGCTCTCGTTTCCCACAGAGCCTTTGCAGGCTTGTCTCCTTTGTATCGTTCTCTGGTGCAGTATGCCAGCTATGGCTCGGAGTCATTTCGCTTCTCACACCTTGCGCTGCAGGGCTGGTGCACTTGCCCAGGTCACACTTCTTGTCAGCGCGTCGGGCGCCATGTCGGTCAGTGGAGGCTCTGACGTGGAGGTAGGTCCGAGCACGGCGTTCCCACCGCCAGCTCAACGCAGGAGGGCGTCTTCCACCGCGGCGTCGGCCCGCTCTTCGCCGCAGAGCCCCGTCCAGTGCTTCGCATGCTTGCAGCCGTGCGCTCCAACCGACCACGTCAAGAAATGGCACGGCTACACGTTCCACGCTTCGCCGTGTTGGAATCCAGTTCGGTCTCGCACTCGCATCTGTTTGGGCAAGCCAAACGGCCTCAGGCGCGAGTTGGACATCATGGTATCGGATCCCGAGCAGCGGCGTGCAGGTCTACTGTCATTCGGCACAACGCTGGCACACACCGGCCGCGCCATCGCCAGGGACACGCTATCGCAGCAGATCGACGCATACAACGAGGAGATCGAGCGCAGCGCGCACCTTCTCCTCAGCGGCGTGATGAGGTACACCAAGCAGCAGTGCAAGGACGCGCGCTTGAGGGGCATGGGTCCTGAAGCACTTGGAGGCGGCTCACCAGAAGGTCCAGGACAAGAAATTGACCTTGACAGACCTGCCCCATGACTTCGCCTCGGTTCAGGAAGACCTCCAGCGCGTGGTTGCCGCGTGCAAGACTGAGAAGAGCAAGATCCCTGACGCCAAGAAGGAGCAGGTGCCAGCGCTCCAAGATGCCTACGCTAACATGCTGAAGCAGAAGGCCGATGCGGTAACCAAGGCAGTCGCCCTCCAAGATCACTTGCAGCCCCAGCTCAAGAAGGCGACGTCCAACGAGAGGTCCATGTACCAGGTTAGACGGTGGAAGAAGGAGAAGATGTCCCATGCCTTGGTCAAGGAAGGCGCCTCGGCTCCGTTCGCCAAGCACTTCGCCGGCATAGTTACTACTGCCGCCGGGGTTGTTGGCGAGGGAGGCCCTTCAAAGGTTGTCCTGCGCGATCGGGCCCAGGATAACCCAATCGAGGTGCAGTACGATACCACCAAAGTGGCGGTCTGGACGAAAGACAACGCCACCGTCGACAGCCAGGAGACCGCCCTCTGGTACAACATCATGAACATGTTCGGCCCAAACTTCGAGACCTTCCTGAAGAGCAAGATGGAGTCCGTGACGGCCGAGCTCAGGAACCACGCGAACTGGCCAGGGGCGCTCGGCAGGATGACGGATTATTGGCCTACTGCGTCGGATAGCATCTCGCCGTTCGACGCGAAGGACGTGCAGTCCAGGGGGGCCGAGATGTGGATCGTGGGCGCCAAGATGGATGCGATGAGGATGCACCCAGCGAATGTGCCAGTGCCTGGCGTCCCGTGCCTCATCTACGCGGCGGCGGGCCCTCTGCTGATCCACGCGGTTGAGATGAAGTCCTTCCTCGACATGGGAATCGCCGCGGCCGGCTACGAGTCGCACCAGCAGACGCCATCGGGCGTGCAGTGCTTGAAGGCGGGCTCCGCGATCATGCTGTGCGACGGCGACGTTGCCTGCGTGCCTGCTGGCTGGCACTGGTCGCTCGTCGCGGTGGGCTCGATTCTTTCCGACGCGAAGGCAGGCGAGGATGGCGACGCCAAGCCCAAGCCCAAGGGTCGCGTGAGCGCGACCGTCAAATCTCAGATCGACGACACGTCTAAGGATGCCGACGGTTTCGTTGCCGTGGCCAGTATCTTCTCGGAGAAGTTGGTGGAATCGCTCCCTGCGAATGTCCGCGGGGCCATTCGGTTGTGTAACAAGACGCACTTCGCGTCGAAGTCGGGCAGGGCCACGCGGGCGGGGGGGGGCCCTCTTCGACAAATACTTCGTGGAGTGAGCCGACGCCCAGCTCGGCGCCCAGCCCAGCGCCCAGCCCGACACCCGGCCAGACGTGTCGCACCAGAGGCGGGTAACCACTGTTTTGTCTCATCAAGTTTGTTCTTGTTGTTCTGCTTGAGCTTCGCCCAGGTGGCACCTGGACTCTCATGTTTACAAGCCTTCGGCACTTCCCGCCATCGTGTCTGGGTTGGGCCATCTTGGGTGCTCTGCGGGGTGTCGTGGGGGTCCTCTCGGGGGCCCTTTCGCTGCAATGTGATGTGTTTGAGGGGGCCGTTCAGGGGCCTCCTGGGACCCTTGTTCGGGTTGTTGCCGTCTCTCGCGGGCGTCTTGGGGAAGTCCAACCCCGCAGCGTCGCGAGGATGAGGGCAATGAGTGGGCGGGAGGAGTAGGATGGCGATGCCAACGGGGAGGATGAGGGGCGGGATGAGGAGGAGGAAGACGAGGACAACGACAACAATGACGACGATAAGGGCGGTGACGGGACGGACGAGGTCGACGACGAAGACGGGGCTGAGGGAAGAGGAGGAAGATGAGGATGATGACCACGGGAGGGTGGTAAGACCATAGGGGGGATGAACATACCCATGGAGAAATGGAGGAGGATGGATGCAGGCAGATGTAGGAGGAGTTATGAGTAGGAGTAGGATGGAGGAAGTATTATGAGTAGGAGTGGGAGCAGTTGGAGGAGCTAGGAGTAGGAGGAAGATGGGGAACAAGGGAGGAGTAGAAGCCGGAAGAGTAGGAGTAGGAGCAGTAGTAGGAGTAAAATGAAACGGGGGAGGAAGATGGGCGAAGGAGGGGTTAGGAGGAGGAGGATGGGGACGAGGAAGTCGACGCCGAAGACGCGGGGAGGGATTGCGACGGCGACGACTGGGGCGACGACAACGACAGCGCGGCGTGCCGTGCCCAAGTGCCGTGTCGCGACGCGCCGCGACTCTAACTGTGCCCGCGCGTCGCCGTGCCGCGTGTCGTCAAGGCGTGCGCTCGCGAGCGAAATGGCGCGATGCTGTGTCTTTGGTGCGCGCTCGCGCGTCCGCTTCGGTTGTGGCTCGACGTTTTGCGCGGTGCTCTTGCGTCCTGCTGTTCCGATCGGGCGCGCGCGTTGCAGCGCGAGATTGGCTCGGTCGGGGGCGCGTTTGCGGTCTCAACGCTCGTTGGCGCGTTCGGTCGCAATGAAAGTTGCGTCGGCGCGCGCTCCTCGATTGCTAACTCAGCAGAAAAATGCATTCGTTGTGTTGCGGGGCGTTTGTAAGCGGCCAATCTGTTTGTAGTGCCGTCTCTAGCGGAAAAAAACGCTGCGTGGCCCGAGTTTCTAGGTGCCCCACGCGCGACAGGCTGTTGCCCGTAAGCTCGTGCCTTCCCAGTTTCGGATCTTTCTGAGCCTCGTGCGGTTGATGTCTTCAAGGGCGAAGGTGTTTGGGCTATTCTAGACGAGGGTTGTAATTCTTGTTGTCACGGTAAAACTTGGGTTCTTAACGCAGGGGATATATTCGAGAAATTGGGTATCTATCTTTAATGTGGCCACAGACAGCGTAAGACGTACAGCGGTATAAGAGGACAGGCATTGAGTGAGACGACAGGTAAGAAGAGTTGTCCATTTCGCATCGTTGCTTCTCGTGGCTCCGTCAGCGGGTGTCTCGAGTCGCATGAGTTGAAAGATTCGGATCATGTTCCTCTCTGGTTCTCTCTCTCTCTCTCTTGCACGGGCTTCCCTTGGTCTCGTGAAGAATCTTGCTATGGTCGCGCCCTCTTGAGTTGGGAGGGTGAGGTATAAATGTGTCGTCGTGCTCGCTCAGGCCATCATTCCATCCGTCTTGATCAGTTTGACCCAGAGGACGTTGCAGAGTTTATTCGTCCGTTGCACATTCCGTATCCAGGCGGCTGCGCAGCTCTTGCCGGCCGCGCCGCGCCGCCTGCTGTCTTCGACCACTTCAGTGACGACGGGGCCACGGGTGTGCCTGCGCCCGTCGATCACCCCGGTGACGACGAGGGCGCGCGGGTCGCTGCCATGGCTGCTGCCGTTGGCGCCTGTCCCGCACCACAGGGCTCGAAGTTTGCTGTGATCACGCTGGGCTTGGAGAACTTCGAGAAAAGCCCGAGGCTCTCGGGGTCGTCGATGCTGAGAGAGCACATTCGCCGTCACCATTGCTCCAGTCATGCTTTGACTACAAGAGGACGCCACGCCAATGCCATCGTAGATGCGCTCATTGCTGCAGATGAGAATCTTGCGAACTATGACCGGTACGTGTCGTTGGACATCAGGGCTCTGGACGACCCAGCCCACGCGCGCCATGTCGGTCATCGTCCGAAGATCCTACGTCATTCACTTGAGAATGAACATATTGTTGGCGTCGATGAGTGTGCGGGAAAATCTTTGGCGAAGAGCAAGTCTTCACAGCATGTGCACTGTTGCCATCTGTCGTTCTGGTCGGCACCGCTCTGTTGCTGTCAGTTATGATGTCAAACAGTTCTTGGAACAGCATGACATTGAATGCAGTTCTGCGCGCCTGAGTCGTCGTGAGTGGTCCCAGCGGACTTGTAGCGGAGAATGCGATGACTGCGTTCACGTATCCGATTGGGGCCGCGAGATGGCGAATTCTGCGACTGACAAGATTGCTTCTTTGCTGAATCCTTCGAGAAGTTCAGTGCACCGCCGCCTCCAGTTCCTGATCCGTCTGCCAAGCGCAGGCCCCGTGACGGGGCTAAGCTGGCCAGGGGGGGGGGGATCTCGCGCTTCATCGAGTGTGGTTGACGGAGTAGGTGATAATGACGTGGCCACTGTCATCCGCGAACACATCAGGACGATCTGGCGTGAACGTCCCGGCGCTGACTATATTGACGCAGATTTCGAGGCCATGACGCAGCGATATGTTGGGCGTGTGCTGCAGTTATATTCAAAGATCCGTCACGAGGACAACAGGCCGCCTGCTGATTATGCGGTGTGTGCGTCGTGCTCGTGAGTATGCAGGAACAGGTGTACTTCCCAAACCTGTTGGTGGTCGTGTTCCTGCTGCTGCTTCGCCACCGCCTGTCGCCGCGTCGTCTCCTGCCGCTGCATCGCCCCCTTCATGTCGGGCGCGCGATTCGCAGGGCGATGGCGGCGAAGCGCCGAAGAGGAAGGCTCGCATGAGCAGCGCCAGCAAGGCGACGGCTCTGCCACCGGGCGATGCTGCAACGCCGGGCGCGATCGTTCGCCCTCCTGGAATGCCTCCCACGATGCCACCGCCCAAGCACAAGCTCGCTGACCTCGCGCCGAGGTAGCCGGACGGACCTCCGCCAGCGCGCCTCGGGTCTCCCCGGCCGCCTCCGCCGCCGGGGCCGTTTCGCAGGATGGAGCCGCTGCCGCCGCCGCCGCCGCCTCCGGCGAGTATTGTTGCCGCCAGCAGCGACGGCGAATCGAACGGGACTCGTGCGTCTCGCTCAGGATCCCCGACTTCTCCTGTCGAGAGGGGCCTGGCCACGGTGGGTGGTGAGCGGGCCGGAGATCCAGTTGTGGACTTCGAGCCGATTGCAGGTGGCGCAGATCAGCTGGATTCGCTGTTCGAGCCGGGCAAGAAGCAGGGCAATAATATGACCTTATCACGCACGTTGGTCTTCGATCGTTCCAATCAGAGGTGTCGACGGGCCGCGCGGAAGAGCAGGGCGCTGAGAGACATTGGTGCGCGTGGGCTGCAATATTGTTCCGTTCAGTACTCAGATCAAGTTCCCGCCGGCATGGTCTTCTTCGAAGAAGAGTTCTATGGTCCGCGCCAAGGGCGCCTAGTCCTGGAGGCGTATTGAAGATCACGTTGCCATGATTTTTTCTGTGGATGCTGAGAAGTTCGATCGAGTGGCAATATTTGTGCAGCCTCCGTGGATCCGCGTTGACGGAGCGTCGTAGCTGTGCGCGTCGCTGCAGCTGGACCAGCATGAGATGATTACCGTGCATGATTGAAATCGTGCCGCATATTGCTCTGGAATGCAGAACATCAGTATGCAAGATGAGTTGTTATCTGCGTGTGATGCTGAGCTGTCCGCGCCGGGCATGTCTGCGACCGACGGGAAGATTGGCGAGAAGGTGATCAGGAACACCGATCCGCTTCGCGGACGTGCAGGGACCAACCTGGCCGGGGTGCTGCTCCATGTCATCGGCATCGCGTTCGCCTGCCCAACCTCGATCGGCGCGGTGGCGCGCCCAGATCGGGGGCCAGCGATGGCGAAAGACATCGTCGTGCGCAATCGTGGTCTCGTTGTCGCCTGCACATCATCATCAAATCATCATGTGATCAGCGATTTTTTCGTTGGCTTGGCTCAAGATAATAGTCCTCTACTTGTTGCCCTCGTAGATGAGCCTGGTTTCTCAAGCCTTGCGGTTGCTAGCGCGCCGAACTCGCACCTCGAGTCAGACGCGGACATCGCAAGTCAGACATTCCATGATTTCTTCAGAGAGTTAGGTCAGCATGTTAGACCGGGCAGACCTGCCCTCGCAGCTCTCCCCGCTGAAGCCGCAGAGGAGAGAGTTCGAAGCAATGTGGGCGCGATCGTCGCTGATGACGACGTCGCCACAGTCTCCAAGGAACGCCTGCGAGGTGAAGAGCTAGAAATCCTGGAACCAACCATCCTACCTGGCGAGCCGAAACACGACGGAAAGAGAAGGGTCGCGCGGCTGCCAATCCCGCTCCGCGCAAGGGTCGCCATTAGACGACTGCACAGGCAGTTTGGTCACGTGCCCTGTCGTGTTCCCGTCGAGCTAGTAAGAATATCCAGAATGTCGCCGGACTACATTGAGGCTGCTCAGAGCTATCGATGTGAATCTTGCGCACATCACAATGTGTTTGCTCAGACACAAGGTTGGCTTGCCCGAGAAGTTTTACTTCAACCATGCAATCGGCATCGACTGTCTAGAGGTAAAGGACAACAGTGGGCAACTTTACGCATTATGCAACATAGCGTGCCAGGGTGCAACATTTCAGCGTGTAATCTTTGTCGAGCACGGAGGTGGCACGCCATCTTCGAGAGCATTGCTCACTGCGTTTCAACATCGCTGGTGTGCATGGGCAGGTAAGCCCACATGAATGGTGTCAGACCGTGGACAGCACAACAGGGGAGTGTTTCTGGAATGGGTTAAGGGGGTCAAGGGATCGACCTTCGCGACTCCGGAGCCGAGTCCCCCGAACAGATAGGCCTCGCCGAGAGACGTGGTGGATTGGAAGAACATCTTCAAGAAGGTGGTACACGACAAGAATGTTACCGGACTCGATGCAGCCACCTCTGTTGCAGCAGAAATTGACAAGGCGAAGAATTAGATGTCGCGAGTCGGCGGATTTGCACCTACTCATTGGGTGTTGGGACCGATGCCTCGTGCCCCAGGGAGTCAATTCGACGACGAGGAAGCTTTCGACTCAGGAGTGCTTGCGAATGTTGCAGAGGGCGGAGCCGACGTTCTTTCGCCGGGCTGCGACCTGGGCGTCTGCCAGAAAAGCATTCGCAGAACGCGACGTCGGGGGTGGGGCGGCGAGGGCCACTCTCCGAAAGGCAACGCCGCCAGCTGGATAATATCAGGTCGGTGATATAGCATGCTTTCGCAAGAGACCGACCGATGGCGAGGTCGCCGCGGAGTTGAACACTGGTTCTTGTATCGCTGGATACGATGGCAAGAACCAAGAACGCATGGGCTATCACAGAGGGCGTGCCTGTCTGCGTGGCTGTCGGCAGGCTTCGTCCGCGGACATCGACGGAAGCGTTGGCTCGCCAATGCCTCTCTGAGCACCATGGCGGTCGAGTTGAAAGGTATGCGCCTCCCGACGGGCAACGGCAGTCACTCGTGGGCGAAAGTCGCGAGCTGCCAGAACCACAGGTGCAAGAGCACTCCGTGCAAGGACATCCCATGGCGACGGAAGAGCTGCCAGGGACCCCAGAAGACTCCGAGTTCATATAGGAGAAGCATTTCGCCAAAGGGAAGAAGATTAACTGTTTGCTGGAATGGTCGTTCCTGTGCCGCCCACGACGAGATCACCACGAGTGACTCGAAAGCCTGTTCAGAGGTCGTTACTAGACGACGTCCCGCACGGCATGCGGAGTCGCAACGAAGCGGTGCGCGGAAGAGGCGAGAATGCCGGCGGTAGCACGGGGGGGGGTTCGGATCCTGTTTAGCAGCCAGTTCCCGAACCAGCGAACCCACTTCTTGAGGCCGTGCGCAGGGCCTGAACATCAGGGCCGTGCATGGATCTTCTAGCCCGCAGAGAAGCTTCACTCGCCGTGAAGCCGCGTGCGTCGCTTGTCGGTTTCTTCCGTGAACGCACCGCTCACGAGCCGCAATCCAAGAAGAAGATCAAGACTGGGAAGAATCTGGTATATCATCGAGAACCTGAGGACGTTAAAGCGGTTTACGACTGGCAAGACAAGACGAATGGGGAACATGGCGGAAGTTCAACGCCGCCGTACCTATCCATGGGGCTACACTATCTCTTCGACGAAGGATGCCGCATGGTGCCTGCGCAATGGATTGAGATTGGCAAGTCTGAGCATCCCTGTAGACCGGGTGGTCCTTCGGTTGCACCGCAGTACAAGGGCATACTTGTCGTGATTGGAGATCCGGGAGAGTCGTTGGGCATCCGTGCGGAGTCACCAACTTGCGATCTAGAAGGGCTAAGGTTAATTGTGTCATGGGCTGCCGGTTAAGACGCCCAAGTATGCCGGCGTTACATCTGCGTACTTCAAGGGTAAAGGAACTCGACCGCCTCATGCTGCTCAAGCCGCCGCCCGATGGACTCGAAGGAGCGCCGGGTGGTGGTGCACTGGTCGCGCGCATGTCTGTTTATCGCACACGTCGCGCAGGGCGAGGTCCGTGGGGGAAACTTCGCAAAAGGGTGGAAGCTTATGGCAATGGCAATACTGAATCACGTTTATGTTAGGTACGCATGTGGATGACATGTTGCGGGGTGCAGATGATGAGCGTCAGAGAGTCATCGATTCGGTATTAGCAGAGTTTGATACTCGCGAGATCAAGCCGGATATGGTCCGTTAGTGTGTTTTGGAAGTTGTTCAAGATGAAGATTGCATGGCGAGTATCACGGCCGGGGGCAATATTGAGAACATCGAAGCTGCATCCTGTCCCAGACACAGTCCCGTCGCGAGAGAATGCAATGAGGGCGAGACAGCGCAGCTTAGATCGGTGGTAGGTGCTTTGTCACGGCTTACACGTCAGTGTAAACCTGAGCTAGTGCATCGCGCGAGCAGACTGCAGACGGCAGTGGGTCGCGCTGAGGTACTCCATCACAATGGTGCCAACCGTGCATTAGAAGAAGCAACTCAGTCCGCTGATTGCGGGTTAGTATTTGAAGGTGGAGCTGTCCAGTGGAATCAAGATATGCTAGTTCTTGTTGTTACTGACGCCAGTTGGGCAGGAGAAGAGGATATGCTCAAGCGTAGAGTCGAGCCTCTCAGGTCACAGAGGGCTAGGTTCGATGGGCTCGCAGGGCCTGGGTTCATCGAGGGTGGCAGTGATTGCGTTCATCTTATATGTATTTCTAGTAAAGTAATCAAACGAGTACGTGAATCTTCATTGCAAGCATGGACCCTGGCCTGTTTATGCGGTGTAGAATCTTGCGTGCGCAGCCGCGCTGCTATCGCAGATGCGCGCGCGATGCTTGACGCCAGAAATACGCTGCCAACAAACTGGGAAGACACATAAGCCATGTTAATGAGACACTTATGGATGACGGGTTGTACAAGCGTTGAAGAACACCTAATTCCCCCAGCTATGGGTAAGACAGAAGATCAGCACTTGAGTACCGATTTGGGATATTCGGACTAATGGAGCGGAAGAAGTATATTTTTCAACCACGCATATTTTGTGATAAGTTCCGATGGATCGACACACGTACTATGGCTTTTGATTGCCTGGCGAAGAATATGCCAACGGATTTCTTAGTTAAGATCTTACGTACAAGATCATATGACATAACTTCATACCCTGATTACACGTTGAAGAAGGTCAAGAAACAACTGGCGAGGGCCAGGGCGAATGGTATCCCATCGGGGAAGTGAGTGACTGAGTCCTGGCTGCCTTGACTTGAATAGATCAACATGAGAGTACTCCTTGTTCTGCCCTTAGAGGCTCACCGAGACCAGCAGTGCTGCGCGTTCGGCCCGCTAGCTCGTGATAAAGTTTCACCGGTGTGAGATAGTGCGTGCGCCACGTGCGTGCGTGCGCTTCTCGCCGCCAATTGACCTCTAGGGGCCGTTTTTGCTTTTGTGCTAAAACACATCATAATCACATCTTCCTTTTCCTCCTCTTCCTCCTCCTCGTCCTCCTTTTCCTCCTCCCCCCCTCCTTCCAGTTCCTCTCCCCCCTCCTCCTCCTAGGAGGAGTCGGCTTGCAGGGGGGCCGGGCGCGGGGGGGGCGCCAGCGGCCGCGCCGATTCCATCGCGGCCCGCTGCCCCTTCCCGGGGCTCTCAGGAATCCTCCGGGCCCAGTCGGCCTCGCAGTCGGCGCCGGCGTCGCGTCGCCCGCGAGCGCCAGCCGGCGGGCGGGCCGACCTTGTTGCGCATGTTTGGCGCGAGAGACCCGCGCGGGCCTCGCGCTGTGCCCGCGCCCCAGGGCGACGGCCCAGGCCCTTGTAGCCTCCCGCGCTGACGCGATGGCCTCGCGCGCGGCGCAGGAGCGGGCGCCGCCGACCGTTCGGTTCGGTTCCGCGCACTTCTCATGCGACAACGCAAAGCCCCCCATGCTGCTCGCGCGCTTTGCGACGGCCGCGCGTTCAATGGGAAGCCGCAGACCAAGTTTCCATTCCCGCGCGCGGGGCGGGGCATGAACTTACAGATGCGCCGACGGTCGAGAACTCGCTCGCGCGCCCGCGCCTGCCATGTTGGGCGTGCGCACTGGGCCCGGAAATCTGCGGTTCGGCCGCCCGATGCGCCCCAAAAATCGCCCCGCCCCCCCCCCGCCCCCCTCCCCTTCAAAACTCTTCCGCGCTCCTGGAAAAACCATGCCGCCGAAGCGGGGGCTCGGGCCGCGGCCCGATGGTCCCGGGGGCACAGGGGAATCAAAGGAATCAGTACGGAATCAGTGCAGAATCAAAACAGAATCGGCACAACTGCGACCCCTGATTCTAGCGGAATCAAAAGAATCAGTACGGAATCAATACGGAATAAAAGGAGGAATCGGCGATGGAACCTGAATCGGCCAGAACGGGGAAGTAGGCCAGAATCGGTTTCAGAACCCATGGAGAGAGGCTTTTTTCCCGCGAGTTCATTGCGGCGGGTCCGCGGCGCGGGCGCGCCGCGCGACTTCGCTGGTTCAGCGAGGCGCGCAGTCGGCGTTCAGGGTGAACAGGTTGTTTTCAAGGCGATATCCTGGCGGCGCGCTGGCGCATTGCGCATTTGCGTATTCCTGGCGGGCTGTTTGAGGGCGACCCGGCAGCGTCGGCCGAATGGCCCGCAAATGCCGCGCGGCCGATCGCGCGCCCCATGCGGTCACGTCGACCGCCGTGTGCCGCGACGGCCGCGCGCCCCGGACCGCGCGCAGCGCCCGTCCTCCAAAAGTCGTTACATGCATATCGCGCGTGTCGAGCCAGCAGCAATCGCTCCCAGAAGCAGCCTTGACAGGCGCCCCATGCCCGTTGTCGCCCGGTTCCGATCCAAATCATAGTTTCTTAGGATGCGCTTGCGCGAATGCGAACGCGCGGGCAAGTAACGCGTGCGCGCGCTTGGCGCAGCCTGGGAAATCTTACATGGAGCCCCCCGGGGGCGCGGGGCGCCGGCGACGCTTCTGCCCGCCTCCCGCGCGCCCGACCCCCCCCGCAAGCCGACTCCTCCTACCTCCTCCTCCTCCTCCTCCTCCTCCTCCTCCTCCTCCTCCTCCTCCTCCTCCTCCTCCTCCCCCTCCCCCCCCCCGCCGCTGCGCACGCGCTGGTCAGGCCCAGCCGTCGCTCCTGCCCGGCAGGCGCGCCTTCCCTCGCGCGCTGGCCTTCCTATTGGGGGGAGTGGGAGGGAGGGAGGTGGGAGTTTTCGAGGCCAGTGCTAATCCGGAGGTTTCCCGGTTTTTGGACGCTTTCGTCGGTTCTCGAAGGTTTTGGAGGCTCAGCTGGCTTTCCAGCAGCTGCGTCTCGCCGAGAGCGTTCCGGAGGTGCCAGAGCGGTTCCGGAGACTGTTCTTCGACGGCCCGAATTGTGGTCCAGAGGCCACTGGGCTTCACAGACCTCCGACGACATGGGAAATCAGTGCGGAGGTCTGTCGCTGCTTTCTCGTCCTCCAGAAACCCTCACGGGGCCTTGGGCCGTCGAAAACGGTTCAGGATGAAATGCTGGCCGTGCGCGAGTCGGATCTCTGGGGATTTGGACTGGGAGAAGAAGGAGGAAGAGGGGGTGGGGGAGGAGGAGGAGGAGGAGGAGGAGGAGGAGGAGGAGGAGGAGGAGGAGGAGGTAGGGAG